CTCTCTCTCTCTCTCTCACACACACACACACATATTTGACTGATCGACATGGTAGTTTGTGCGGCAAGACCCATTCTCTCTCTCTCTCTCTCTCTCTCTCCACATCTTCCCTCGATCAGAACAATCCGGCCGTGCGAGAGGGCGAGTAGTATCTCGATGTAGCGTCACTAGAGAGTAGCGTGGAGTCCAGCAGTGCTTCCCTTTATGCAGGCGGCCACACAATTTTTTTTTCTTCTGGCCTGCATACCCAGTGCGCACAATCGTTTTCTAAATGATCTACACACAATGACCATAAGGTACCTCTCCATTGACGGTCCAGATTGCGTGACTATGACCTCCAGAACGACCAGGGGCCCATCCAGACGGTTGGGCAACAACGAAGCAAAAAGCTCCAGACAAGGGCAACAACGAAGCAAAGCGCCTGGACGGAGAGTTGGTAACGGCCCACAGATTAGTGGTGGTTACATTGTACTCGTCAAATTAATCGTACATAAGTGTAAAATGTGGCACTCACCTTGATACAGCCTTTGGTCCCAGTTCTCTGTGTACCCAAAAGTGGCATGAACCAGCAAACAGAACGGTGAAAGTGAAAGCAGCATACGGCATATTCACATATAAGCATTCCTGCACTTCTAAACCCCCCTGTTCATCACAGATTCTCTTGAAAAAGTATGTGTGTGCTCCGTAAGCATGTGTACCTGCATCAGTTCAGGACGAAATTCGCCAAAAAGGGTCATACCATGCCATCGGTAGACCCTCAGATATGTGCAAGGAGAGCGAGAGAGGTTTGTTGTTTCTCTTTCTTTTCAGTTTTGGCACTTGGGTGTTGGCACTTTATTTGCTCTCTCTCTCTCTCTCTCTCTCTCTCTCTCTCTCTCTCTCTCTCTCTCTGTGTGTGTGTGTGTGTGTGTGTGTGTGTGTGTGCATGTGTGTGTGTGTGTGTGTGTGCATGTGTGTGTGTGTGTGTGGTAAACCCTTCTTACTGCACTTCGGCTTCGGCCGTAGGGGGTGTCAAATTACCTCGCAAAACCCCTCGCTTGCTAAGAAAGCAGATCATGACATCCAAGCAAAAAGAACAATAGAGGAAGAGAGAGTCGCCGGGTACTGCGTCACAAGTGAGTACAACGAGATGGACACAAACATTCTACCATAACAGATGTCGGTTGAAAGCAGAAGGTGAAGCCGCTTATTGTGGCACAAGTGAGAGTACAATGAGATGGGCACTCGATCACATTCTAGCATAACAGATGTCAGTTGAAAGCAGAAGGTAAGGTACACGCACTAGCACCCATATAAAGCGCTACATTAAAAACGGATGGCAGGTAGGCGAGCAATTCTGGTAACACCTATCCTAACTAGTTTTAGAATTCATGCAGCGGGTGTCCAACAGGCCAGAAGAACAGAAGCACATCGTTCCCCAAGACAGATTGCGAACCGTGTCTGCAGGATGCGTTCTGTGCCCCCACGACTTATCACAGAGTTGAATAAGGAATGTCCTGGTGTTCACTACCCATCATACACACGCTTGATGGCATGGCAGAGACAGGGATCGTCAGAATGTGCTTCCGCCATGGCGTTAACCTGCATGTAGCATCGACGACAATCTAAGGACGCCGACTATTCGGTGGTGGGGCATGCAGCTGAGCGAGCGCACGAATATTCGTAATCACCTGTTTGATGTCGAACTCAATGGGGTGCTGGACGAAGCACCGCGTCTCAGGGTAGTAAGCCATTGACCAATCGCAGCTCTTCAAGCCTGCCGAATACAGCGCCTAGGCTGCTAAGCAAAATGCATCCAACCGACGTAGGCAGTGCACGCAGGAAGCATCCTCAACAATACAGCATCGCACGGAAGGACATCCGCGCTTCACTGGCATGACTTGCTCCACAGCATCAGGAAACATGCGGAGCTGTTAAACGAGATGGACTTGTCGGAAGACACGGGTTGGCATGGAACCGAAGCGGATGGGAATCCAGAGCTGCAGCAGTATCGCCGGCAAGTATCATTGCGAGGAGGATAAGGTAGGACCCGCTGTGCTGGATCAAAGTTTAGTTGACAAGCGAGACAAAAAGATTTGGGTAACGAGTTGTTGGCGCGTGTGAAGGTCGCAAATGAGAAGGATGCAGAAGAGAAGGTGTCCAGAGTATGATAAGAAGGGGACGAGGAAGACAACAGGCAGCAAAGAAAAGTACTGGGCGGCAGAGTCGGACCCCCACGTGTAATCAGTCGGCCCTTGCATTTTCTGTTGCTCAGTCTGACCTTCAAGAGTAAGGCCTTGGTCGCTCGATCGTTCCTCGTAAGAGCCCTTCACCACGATGTCCAATGAGCAGTACAGTTCAAAACAATGCCCATGGTGTATGCGTAAAAGAGAATTTGCACGGACAGAGTGATGAGCAAGTAGTCCACTGGACAAAAACGGCCTTATGATGACGGTTCGGTTGATCCCACAGTTTATACCTTCGTTTGCGCAGGCAATTACCGGTTTCCACAAAAAGAGAGAGAGAGAGAGAGAGAGAGACTTCACCTCGGGGTCTAAGTTGTTCACAGTCGTTTGGATGGCAGCTCCAGTTGCACGGGCCACACGCTGCAGATCCTCCTCAACAACACGTCCAGCGCAGAAGATATCACGATCCGCAAAATACTGCATAAACGTACAGGAAGAACGTCGAACACAGTTTTATACTGCACCCGAGGAGATAAAGACAGCCGAAATTCTGAAAAAGGACATCAGCAAAAACAAGCAGGCAACATCAACCACACAGTTCTTGAGCAAATTCGGTCACCCGAAGAACGGTTTTTACAAACAGCCCTGACCAATACCACAGGGCACGCGCCTTCCCACCACCCGTGGGCTCGGCAACTTCAAGACTACATTTAGGCATGCCCTCCCCCCTGTTGCACTATCTCCCCCTCCGCCACTCCCACCACAGCCATCCGGTCTCACACCCCGCAGGCAGCTCTTCCAGCCGCCATGGTAGTCCCTTCGGGATGGTCATAAAACTTACACCGAGTGCCCTACTTGGCGTCCCACCACCAAGGCAAGGCAATATGCAAAGCACATGCTGGGACGAGGTTACCAATCCCAAAGAAACCCTAAAACGAAACCCTAATAGAAGGTGAGGTTGGGGAGAAATCTAGCAGAAGAAGCCGATACCTGAGTGGCGAGATCACCGATCGGCAGCCTTGAAAGGATAATTTTTGCCCCACTCCTTGCACACTTGTCAAGTTTGTCGTAGATGATGTTCCACTCCGCATCCACGATGGACTGATATTGCGCCGGATCGGTCAACCTGCACACATGTCCAGAGGAAAACAACCATGAGAGCAGAGCATCAATTCCCTACGGCCTTTAACAATCGCCGCCCGCGTACCATCAGATTTGCCGAGCTTAAGAGATCGGAAAAGGCGGTCATCATCGGACAAGGATCAGAAAAGGCATCCCCCTCGATCAGTGCCTTATCTTGCAGGTGCGCTTCTAAACTAACCAAGATCCCGAACAGCATTCACAAACACTCCTCTCCCAAACAGCAAAAGAAGTCAGACATACTTCGATGCCCAACCACAACTGGGGTTAAGGTGGATTCTCTCTCATATTAGTATCATTGGTTAGGGGACTTTGCAGACCGTAGAGGGTTTAGCCTCCTGATGTGTCACTGAAACTGCGACGAAACAGTCTATCACAGTCCCTCTAATTGATCGCTTCCCCTTCCCTGCCTACGGTTCACCGGGCAGCTCTGTATGACGACATATCGACATATCGATATATAATATATGTATATTTGCTGACATTACACATTTTCCGTGAACCTCCGACGAAGTCCTCTCAGAGCCTCCCCCCGTTTCTTGTCCTTTCCGATTCACCAGGCACGCCTCTCACATAAATATACGGAGACAGATAGGTATCCTTCGGACTCTGAGCAATCTCCCCCAATCATTGTCTGCTGCTCAAAGACAGTGGAACAGGGATTCCCAGAAATAGACGGTTTGGTTGGTTCCCCTGCCCAATCATTACTTCCGGAGGGCGAGGGGCGCCATGGGGAGCAGGCGTGCGTGGTGATGTCCTCTTCTGCGAATCACATATCTTTTGCGGCCCCTATGTCCCCGTTGTACATCCCGGGGAAGGTAAAGCAGAAAACGAAGAAAGATGGGTGTCGGACGCAGATCGGTACCTCACTTCCGCATTCTCCTTCTCCGACTTCAGCTCAAGTTCAATATTCAACAGCAAAATCTTCGGGTTCTCGAATTTCTTAGGCTGTTGCTCGAACCCGGCATACGAGAAGGTCTTCTTGAACGCGACACCGTGGACGAGGAAAGAGTCTGTCATGGATCCCCCCTGCACCTGCAAATCATCAGGAAACAAAGACGACGACACAAGACGTTTCACATCATCAGATAGGTCTTTAATAATGGGGCACGGCAAGATCACAATTATTAAAATCTCTATCAAGCGAGGCCGCAAAGCAACAGCAATGACAAATCAGTGTCGGGAAGCGCGGCAACAAGTCATACGATCCAGACACAGAACATGTCATGCTCAGGAAATTTCGGTCGGAGGATCCGCCGGCACAGCCAAACAGCAGCCGCATGCTACCTGACCATCAAAAAGGTTTCACCTGCCAGCCGACTGACAGACATGGTCCGCTTTGAAATGTAGAACGCGCATAAATAAGCTTTCCTGCAACTTAGCGAACCAAGCGAGCTCGCCTGATCAGCTTTCCTGCGCCTTAGCGAACCAGGCGAGCTGATCATACACAGATATCAACACGTCCGATCTGGCGATCGGATCAGCTGGTCAGATAGCCAGGTCAGGAGATCAGGTTGTCAGATGCAATGACATACTTGCGATGCCTGCCTGACGTCCTGCCTAATCAGACTATATACGACCATGTCCCGAGTAAAGGACCTCGCACCGTGTGAAAAATGATGTGCTCGCTCCCAGGTTCTTCTACGAGATAATACAGGACACTTTTCACATGTGGCGAGTAGCGGAGCGAGGCCCCAAGTGATTGAGGTAAGGAGCCTCGAGTCGCCTCCAGGGATCGGCAGGAACGGGGACGTGGCGAGACGCACATCTAAGCCAGAGAGCACGTGAGCGACCATTGCGTAAGGACAAAGTCGAGAGAGTGGACACAATGTCTTCGACTGACAATACAAAACGACGAAACCAATCGACAAGATACATACTTTCTTTATCCCAATCATCTTCACGCTGTCATCCGCTCCAAGGGAAAGAACAGCCTCCACGACCATCTTCGCAAAGAATTCTTTCTCCCCGCCGACGAGCTTCGAGCTCAATGTTGTCTCCGCACATCTGACCAGCATCCTCCTCTTTTCCTGCTCATCTTTTCCTTCAAGGCTAATCGCCAGACCGCCTATTCTTCTCACCGCCTGATTCAGAAATGGCGCGCGCACAGGTGAAGAAAGGTCGGTCAAACCGAAAGAAGGTAGAGAAACGACGGCCAGTACCGCAACAGAACACACACGCCCACAGAGAGTCAGCCAGGTGGTGTGCACTTCACTAATAGCGTGCCTTTCCCCCCCCAAGTCCAAGACACACATGAATTCACTTACATCAACGAGCACTGGAAGAACTTGAGATCACACACCCTTCGCATTCACATAGCAGCACCGTCAATCATCCAACCCTAGGTTCGCGTCGAGCCATGATACGGAGCATCCATCATCGCCATACATACGGTCTCACGAGGTAGAGGCAGGGCCCGTTCATGACGTTGCCAATACCATAGGAAACCATGCTATAACCTGATTTCACAGTGATCGAAGTCCATTCAGCTGTGCGAGACATGTTCACCGCTCGGTGGCGCGATCTTCGAGCAGAACGTGACTTCGCTACATTTCACCAAACATCTCTGTAATGCTCGTGTTCTACCCAACCCGAAATTCCCATCGGGAATGCAAATATCGCCGGTCTACCCGATCTCCTTCCCAGGGTGGCAACTTCGCCAATGTCCTTGCCCCTCCCGCAGAGCGCAGTCTAATGGTTGCTGCCGCGGATTAGAGACACCTCAACCTCACTCCTTGGGCAAGCAGCCAGCTATCCTACCATAGCGGCCAGGCGTGCATCGCCAGCGGAGCAGGATTACATTTGACTGCACGAGCGAGCGAGTGATCTTCAAAAAAATCGTCTGCGTCCCCCCGAGTTCCACAGACGATACAACCGACCAGAAAGAGTCAATGTCATCTTCGTTGCGCAGTCAGGGATGCTTTCTTTCGCCTGTTCTTCCACTCCCTTTCTTCTTCGGCTTGCTTGCATTTTCGCTCTTACGTACGTCACAGCTGTGTGACAACTTAGTTAGTGTCACCAAGCAACGTTTGGTTGGCGGGCGGAAAGCTGCGAACCTACCAGGTTTGCTGCCGTGCGGAAACTCTTAATGATTAGCTGCGGATGCACGCCATCTTCGATGTAAGGCTTGGCCTCCCGGAGAAACTCGCCCGCAAGAAGAACCACAGACGTGGTCCCATCTCCAACCTGGAAACGAAAAAAAAGAGACACCCCACCTGAGGTCACGGCACCGCAAGGCTTTCAAATTTCGTGCGCATTAATTTCATGCTTTTCGGCTTCCCTGCACAGTCCACTAGCAGTTTCACATGTCCGGAGAAACATGCAGGGAGGGGGAAAAAGAGAGAAGAGGACAGACGGCAGGAAGACACAAGTCACGAGATTTCAGGCTTCACCTTCAGGGGGGCGGCAGCTTCTATGCTTTCGTTGGCGATGTCCCTCTTTGGTTGCTTAGCCCTAAACATTCACCACTGGAATTTCCCACCAGGTGCTTTGCCATTAATCACATTTTCAGTTCCGTTCTTGTAGCTTGTCGGATGTCGGATGAAAAAGTAAGATAGGGGAGTGGAGGGATGAGCGGAAGGGGTAAAGAACTAGAGAGAGAGAGACAGACAGACAGAAACGGTTTCTGATAACGGTGCCTCTGCGCGCATAATCGCCTCCCCTGTCATCGTTCCGTGTCGGGGCACTGGCGTAGACCTCCGATTGAACTAACATACACGCTCAGAAAGCAGGGCGCTGAGAATCACATCCAGCACTGAACACGTGCAAACGGAATCACAGAGCAGTTCCGATACGGCACCTAGAACGACAGCGGGAAAGCGCGAGGACGAGGGAGAAGCGGCCGGGGAGTGGGAAGGGGGAAATGAGTCCCATTTGCCATTTCAACTAGCGGCATATGCTGTACCCATCACGGTAAGGATAAATTGACAAACGGACGGAGGGTCGAGACCAGAATGCGGCGACGGAAGACAGACAACAACAAGAAGAAACAGCGGCGATCTGTGGAATGGGAAAGACGAGAGGAAGCACACGGAAGAACAAGAGGAAGACGAGCCAGGATGACAACAGCCCAACGCTGCAACGGGGTATCGATCACGTACGCATCGCCCAATCTGAGTATGCATACACTTCGCCTACCTCGGCGTCTTGGGATTTGGCTATGTCGACGAGTGTCTTCGCAGCGGGGTGAATGACGTCCAGGAGATTCATTATCGTTGCTCCGTCGTTTGATATGGTCGTGTTACCCTTCTCGTCGTGAACAAGCTTGTCCATTCCTCTTGGCCCGAGAGTGGATCTGATTACATCGGCTACAGCAACGCATGCATTGATATTACTGATCAGCTGCGGCTTCCCTTGCGATGTGTCCGTTCCATCCTTCAGCAAAATTATTTGTGGTTGCTGCACATCACCGGTCACGCACAGTACAACAAACAAACGGGTAGGACATGAGCGGAGGAACACGTGAGATCCAGACGAATGGCCAACGGAGGAGAGCGATGAACAGGAGGAAGCCGAAACAAACCACCGAAGAAAAGGAAAACAGTCTTTGCAACGGAGAGAACGGCATGAGAATCATCAAGAAGCAAAGCGCGGGTTACGATGAGATCCCGAGAAATAGAACAATTAAGGATGTCTACCGAAGCAGCCAGCGAACACCGTACCAGCATAGTCGCCATGGTTGCGGTTTACCGACTGCGTGTAGCGCCGGCAGGTCACACCGATTGCGGAGGACAGCACTGCTAAAATGCGCCAAAAGTTATCGCTCGTGTACGACTATCAGCAACGACGTCATTCACCTTCACCGCCCCTCTCCCTTATTCCACCGCCACTCTCCTTATTCCACCGCCACTCTCCCTTACTGCAAGAGTAACACTGCCTCGGTTCCGTTGTGCGTTCGGGGGCCTCGTCCCCCATGCCATCGGAGTTCGCAGCCAAAGGCTGCGTCTTACCCCGTTGCACTTTGTCGTGTAGCAGGGCGTCCTTTTTTTTTTTTTTTTTTTTTTTTTTACAAGAAGACTCAGCTCATTTATTAGGCACAAAAAAGGGGAGGCCGGGAAACCCTCCACACAACCCGGTAAGAAATCAAGTAACCAAATACTGGGACCATTACCCAGCTTAGGTGCAGGCGTTGGGAATTCTAGTCTAGTTTTTTGCAGAATGGCCAAATCCAGACCGCTGCACTGACATTTCCCAACCCTGGGAAAAAAGGGATATCCACAAGGCCCAAAAAAAGCCCAACACAAACTCAAAATAAACCCAAAATACAACCCAAACACCCTCCACCAACCCAAGGCGAAAACCGTCCTCACCAGCCTTCTGTCCAACCTAATAAGAATCCTAGTGCAAGCGCTGTAGCCTTCACTGCCTAAAAAGCCACACAAACCAAGGAGCAAATGTATATTATCTACCAACCCAATTACCTGCAACTGCAGTCCAACCTGGCTCCTAACTGCAGAGCAGATCTCTTACCACGAGATCCTGATAGTAAACAACACTCCTACCCCCTCTTCCCTCTGCCTGTCTCCTGTAACCGAACCGACAACCGAGCATTTAGGTTGAGATTGTTGTCCTCCTAGTCCAATGTGAGTAAAGCCATTGATCCAAAACTAACTTTCCTGCCATACCTGTAGCCAGGGATCCATGCAGGCACCATGTTTCTTGAAACCAACGAAATCCAGAGGCTAGGGTCAGTGAGTTGCTCACTTTCCTTCTCCAGTCTGCCTGGATAGATCTTCGTAGGTGTGCCACCTGTGTGTGCTTTATTTCTTTGGTTAGCCAAGTCCTCCCCGTCAAACACACAGTCATTCCTGCTTTGCCATATTACCTGAAAACAAACAGCACGATACGTTTGTGCCACGTATCCAATTCCTTTGTTCAGTGGGAAGTTGATGGGTATTCCTCCCATGAGCACCCAGAGCTTGTCCCAGTTAAAATTGTTGTCTCCCATTAATCTGTACCAATGTCTTATGACCCATTTCCAAATCCTTGCTGCCACCGGACAGTCCCACCAAAGGTGGATCGTCGATTTAAAAGCCCATTGGCACCTCTTACATGTCATATCAATTCTCAGACAATGTTCGACTAGCCAAACTGCTGAGGGTGTTGCTGCCATTGATGTTAGCCATAGAATGGCCGCCTGTCTTTGACAGCTAATCATCTTGAGTTGTTTCCAGCAACTCGTTAATGTTGTGTTAATCTCAGTTATTTCAATGTCTAGCAGTCTAGCCCATCTTTGTCTAGCCGCCAACCTCGGATGTTTAGGCGGAGCCAGGGTGTTATACCCTAAATGTTGTGTGTAGTCCAAGAGCGGTACGTTTTGACCACCTTTACCTCTGGCTCTCCATTCCCACATCTTGAGATCAATTTTCAATTGTAGGATTGGTTTCCCTTCTGCAAATAATATGCAGTCTGAGTGTCCGTTTAAATTGACATGCTCTAGTACCCGGATTTGGGTCAAACTTGAGGTCAAGTTCGGTTGGGGGTTGAGCTCATCTACACTTAAACTGGAATCAACTACCGTGTTTCAGTATTGGAAAGTGCGTTTCCCGTCAGGTTCAATGGACAACAGCTTTCAAATCCTCTCAGGGCTCCTGGGTCTTTCTGAGTACCAGGTGCCAGGTGGTTCCAGTTTTTCAGTTGTCAACAGTCCCTTCCAGCTTTCTGGGATGGCGTCGATGATACAGTTCCTGCTCTCCTGCAGATACTGGACTGTTTCAAGTTTATCTATTAGGGTGGGTAGAGAGCACCATGTACCCTGTATCTCATCTCAGAGATCAGCAACCCTGATTACCCCTTTCTTGATCCATGACCGGCCAAAACTTGTCAGTGCCGAATCAGCTTTAATCCAGTCTCCAGTTCCTAATCTGATCTTAGGATTTTCAAAAATGGGTTGGGATAGAACCTCTGCCTTAGTTACAGAGTCGACCCACTCATCCGGTCTAAGGCGACGCCAAGCTTAGAGGATCGCATTCCAGAAGGGAGATTTAAATTGTCTATGTTGATAAGAGTGTAGTTGGAGACAGGTCCAGACACCAGTTGTCCTGCGCCAAGATGTGCTCAACTAACAACACCCAGTATTGTGATTTCGAGTCACTCATTGCTCTAATGATCCATTTTACTAACATTGCATCGTTTTGTCTCGCAGGGTCCTTTATGCCTAGTCCATCTTCCTCCCTGGGGTGGCATGGCATTTCTCATGCAACCTTGGATATGAAGCCTTCGTGCTTCCAAGCGAATGATTTCCATATAAATTTCGTCGCTCTCCTACGAATCAATGAGTAGAGGTGTTTGCCAAAGGTCCGGACTGTTCCTTCAAACCAGAGGAGAGCGAATAAGGCTCCATTGATTACCGTTGCTCTTGGTGAGGATCTTTACCCCACGTCACCAGCCTGTGCAAGGCTTTTTGGAACAGAATTCCATCTTGATCCTCCGAACAACCCTGTATTGCAATTTGAACCCCCAGGAACCTTTCTGATTGGCCATAATCTAACCGCTTCATACCCCATTCGACTGTCGGTTGAAAATCTTAATGGAGAATCAAGATGGATTTGTGCCAATTGACCGAGGTCTCTGAAAGTGTGCAGTATTCATCCAAACACTCCTTCAGTGTACTCAGTGACTGTGTGCTATTTTTTATTGCAGCAAAAAAGTCATCCGCCAGGGCCTTGACCCTGTATTCAGTATGTCCAGTCGGCATGCCTCTGATTGCTGGATTTGCTCTGATGTTGTTTAGCAAACCTTCCATTTGTAGGGCAAACAGGAGGGGGGCAAGGGGGCACCCTTGTCTGAGTGATCTACTCAGAGCAAATTCCTGTGAAACCCTGTTATTCACGATAATCGATGTCGTAGACAGTGTGTATAGGGGTTTTGTCCATCGACATAAATTTTCACCAAAACTCATCCATCTGAGTGTTGTTAGAACATACGACCAGTTGACTCGGTCATATGTTTTTCCATGTCAAGTAAGAGGACTGAGATATTCAAGTGTTCCTTTTGAATAACCTTTTTTTCCATGTCGAGTAAGAGGACTGAGATATTCAAGTGTTCCTTTTGAATAACCTCTAGTGACTCTATTGCCGTTACTATGTTATCAAAGATTGAGCGGCCCCTTACAAAGGCCGCTTGGTCTGAGACAACCAGATCAGGAAGATACAGTCCTAGCCGTCTAGCCAACAATTTGGCCAGTAGCTTGTAGGATGCATTCAGGATGGAGATTAGGCGCCAATTTCTTATCTGCGTTCTATCTCCTTTCTTAAATAGAAGTGAAATCACCCCTTTACACATTGAGACAGATAATCGGCCACCTGCCAGGACTCCATTATAGATCTCTACCAAACTTTCTCTGATTTCACCCCATACGGTTAAGTATACTTCGACCGGGAGTCCATCCTCCCCAGGGGCCTTCCCCTTGGCCATCGCTTTTAGTGCTTCCAGGGCTTCTTCGACTGTCATAGGTCGGTCAAGAGTCATTTTCCCTGTGTTAGATATGCGGACCTCTGTGTTTACCCAGTGACTGTTCCCTTCTGATAGTGCATCAGTCACATTTCGACCTTGTGTGCGGGAGATTAGTATGTCTCTGTAGTACAGTACAACATAATCACATAAGCCAATCAACTATTTGGTCTTTGGTGCCTGATCATCAAAAGGATGTGTCAGTTTTTTCATAACAACCGCAAAACGTGATGGAAGTAGTTTCAGGAATGATTCTTTCGTCATCCTGTCATATACTGCAATTCCTTTAACCCGTAGTTTTTCGGACCATGTTTCATATTTTTTGACCTGAATATCCTCTCATTCGCTCATGAGACGGGTTCTTTCCTTACCCCACACCCTCTGTGAGACTGGATGCTCTTTCATTTTAGTTTCAACATATTTGACTCGTTTCAGAAGATGATATTCGGTCTTATTTATTGAACATGCCAAAATCCTCGAGTACACAGACAACAGGTTGGAGAAGACTTTAACACCAGAGTCCCACCAACTGTCGACCGACTCAAAGGATGGTTTGGTCTCCTGCCAACTAACCCAAAATTGTTTCATCCAATCTACCAACCCGGGGTCTTGTAGATTATGGGTATTAAAGCGGAAAATACCTTTCCCTCTCTCCACTCCAGTTAGGTGTAAAGAAAGTATGATCGGCTTGTGGTCAGAAAAAGGTTGCGAGGTTTCCTTCACAAAATCCAAGGACTCTCATAGGGTTGCTGATATCAAGAAAAAGTCCAACCTACGGCTCGTGACTCCGCCATTTGCCCTTTTATTAGAAAACCAAGTGAAACCCTCTTCCTCCTGATATGATAAACTATAGGGCTCAATGAGGTCCAGTTCGTCCACAATAGAGGTTACAGCCAACTTGTCCTTAGGCCAGTCCCCCACATGTCTTGTGCCGATCAGATTCAGTGACGTGTTTCAGTCTCCAGTACTAATAATATAATCACGTTTCGGGATAATATACCACAACTCTTCAAAGAAGATGGTACGTGCATTATTAGTAATTGGAGCATAAATAGTAATGATGACCCATTCTTTGTCAGCAATAAAGAGCTTAGTCCATGCCCAACGTCATCATAAATCCGCATAGAAATCGATGATTTCCATGTTCAATCTTCTGTGACACAAAATCGCTACGCCTCCTCTGGATCCTCTTGTCGGGGACCAGATTTGGGGGTCGTCCCACCAGCCACCTAATTCGTTAATCTTTTCTTCGTTAAGCGTCGTCTCCTGAAGACAGGTTAATTGTATATTATTTTCAAATATCCATGTCTTCAATCTTTCCTTTTTCCTCCTCTCCCCAGTGTCCCCCATGTCCCTAAGATTCCACGTGGCGATCTTAATTTTGGGCATTCCTCTGC